ATCGGCATTTTAATGTTTTAAAATTCAAAATGTTATTTTGCAATAAAATAATTCTGAACGTTTAAAATATGCGCTTCCTCGAAATGTACCATTATTGAATTTGTTGACATTTTTTCCTCCTCTATATAGATACCTAGTACCTTCCTATATATATTATTATTATTATTATTTAGTGTTAAGTTCATATTATATTATATTACACTCGCTTACCTGTTATACATAATATTATGTTACGTACCTACCTCCTATATGGTATTATAATATTGTACGTGTGCATTCTCACGTAGACTTGGGGAGATGGAAACCACTCACTTAACAAATTAAACGAGGCATTGTATTTTATATATTAATTAGAAAAATATATAATATTTTAAACGATAGATTAGGTTAACCCTAACTATGAAGAAAAAATAATAATCCACTACCTAGATTTAAGTAGTTTTTTGATTGCGTATTTTCATGAATGCAATTAAAAAAGTAATTATCTGATATATAATCTCTGATGATAGCAGCGAAATAAAATAAAATAAATTTAAATTCTATTAAAACTTCAACGGATAATTGTAGTCACCTCTAACGTTCTAAAAGTAAAAACATTTACAACAAAATACCAATGGCCGAGAACGATTTTCCTACATTATGGTTATTTTACACATTTCAAAAAATATTTTTAAAACTATTGACTGGTTTAATGCACACTCAATACAAAGATAAAGAAGACCTTAATAAATATAAATATTTAATTTTGATATTAATAATTGAATGTTATAACGTTATATATTACATATTTTACTATTTAATCAATAAAATAAATATTATTAATAATATAATCAAAATATTTAATTAATTATTGATTTGTTTATTTAGTATGTTATGGACTTTATAAATAAATTCCACACCGTATAAGTGTTATATACGATCATCTATAGTTATAAAGTAGTAGGTAGGCAGAATGTTTTGACAATCACTAGCCCCATGCCTCCATCCCATTAAGTTATTTAGTATCATCATTGATATTTTAAACATTTATCTCAGGCCTTAGGTTGTGATGTGTAGCTCTTATATTATTTATTTTACCATAGACCAAGAATATCTAATCTGTGGTTAAACCTTCACTATAAAATGCACTCGAGTTGTACGCAGACCAATATTTTTACACGACAAACTGATTAGTGATTTTTGAACTTATTGCATATTATAATAAAAACCAATAATAGTAGAGTATTCGAGACTAAATCATAAAATTAGTTTTGAAATTACCATACAATAAGGCCGTATGTCAACGCCAATATTTTATTTCCAATGGGCAACGCAGCAATTATTACGGTTATTTTTATATTTATATTGGTTGGACAGGTTATGTCCTTGTATACGGACAATTTAGTAGCCACTTATAGTAAATACCTACTTTAAATAAGAAAAAAAAGAGTTACAGAAACACAAAAAATAATATTAACATTAGCGTTTTAGAACGCTAATTATAATAATATTATATTATCCTCAACATAGTTATGTACTTTTAATTTATATGTATCGAAGTTCAGAAAAATATTCTGTTTTCGAATATGAAACTAAAACAGTATGTTTAAATTAAAAAAAGCAAAAAACTTAAAAAATTATAGAGATTAAAAATATAATTTTTTTAACTACTCGAAACCACGTAAAAATTATCATTAAAAGACTCCCTCGCGTCATAAGTACTACTGTTGGGTATTTCCTTAAATTCATGTTAAAAAAACACATTAACACCGCATATATATTGTTTATTGTAAATTACCCTTACAGATTGTATATTTTCCAAATAAATGTTAAAAAAAAAACTAAAACATTGATATTTTATGAATTATGAATGTTATACGTTAAACGAATCATTCTTTATGTTATATTTATGGTAGCTACTTAGTTAATACTTTTCGTATAAATCAAATTGCACTTGTGCATGTATATTATTATTATATTTTAATATAATTTAGTTAGGAAATGTTTTTCTCTTGCAGTATTAACTATGTAATGTCTTGTATACATCACTTTTAAACATCGATTAGTAACGTGACTAATAAAATAATATCCAATATTATTATAAAATAATGTATAAAATATATGCACAATATTATGTATTTATCTTTCTGACGTACGTATATATTTATATATTTTATTGTTAAATGTTTTGATACCAAGTACAAATAGTAGGTATATACTACGTCTTCTCTACTAAACACAATTAATGGTGGAAGTAAAAAATACATTTATCTCGTTCCTGGTTTTATAATATATTGTAAGCCGTATTGGGGCGTGCCGAAAATGTTATTTTAAGGAGATTGAAAGCGGTGATTTATTTAGGGGTTTTGTATAGGCAATGTGATGCTTAATACTGGTTACGTAGTGTGTATTTGTGTGAGCTGAAGTAAATATTATCATGAGTGTGTGTATATGCATTCGAAATCCATTGTACCGAGGCTTGGTAATGTCCGAGTTTAGACGGTTGTGGTTTTAAACTTGAGTAGGTACCTATTACCTACCACTGGCCACTATCTATACTATAATTTATATACTATGACCAACAAAATCATTAAAAAAAACTAATAATGATTGGTAAAAAACAATGATAGCTTTTAGATTTTATTTTAAAATATGGTCAAAAATATAAATAACATATTTTTTAAATAAATAAATATAGGTATTACTTATAAGTTTTGCTATCCACCCAATTCACTTCACTCTATAATATCAGCGGAAAACGGTTGTGTGGCCTGACACCACATAATAGACAAGTTGATAAGTAAGTACATAGTCGAATAAGTTACATTTTAACAATTTTCTTGCTGGTACTTAACCTATATAATATTATGTAACTATGTAACTATGGTAATTATTTACAAAGATCTAAATAATTGTACATTAGATACAGTAAATTAGTGTTACAGCAAGTTACAGAAAGTCATAATGATTTTATTTATTTTGTCGAATTCGAACATTTAATCGTAGGTACTTGAAACTTTTAAAGTACATAATATTATTATGTTGTACACTTGTACATATACACTCATTGACATTTTCAAATGCAATTATCTTGGCAAAAATTAGTTTAATTTACCGTATTGTCGAATCGAAAAATAAATTACTTTAACTGCAATAATATCATAAAATGTACTCAGTAATAGTTAATCTGACAAGCTATCGTAGCTCAGAACCGTTTTTCGTACATAATCGTACTTACTGCACATTATCTTTATTAAAACAATTATTATTTATATTAGAGGTATATTGTTAGGTAGGCACCTTAGCTATTTCATATGTATATAGTTGTATTATTATATTATGTATAATTATATACATTGATGTACTATATTATGTATAATTGCTGTATGCAAAAATATTTTTAAAAATAACTGTTAAGTGTCCTTATAGTGGAATCGCTCATCTGTACCAACTGATTTTTCCGCATGCCACTGTGCCCAAGCAATTGTAGTCGGAGACCTGAGTACAAATTATAGGCACTCATGTGCGGATAGATCTATCGGGAAATCGGGATTTTCCCGGTAGGTCCCCATCACAAAAAAAAAAAAAAAATAATAATAATATAAAAGTAAATTTTTATAATACTGGCTGGTGCCCTGGCGGCTGTACAGTATTAAATATTAATGCGTATTGGTAATATTTGTATACTCCATTAAGGCCTAGGGGCCTATGTATTAACTCATCGATACCCGTATAAATAGGTACATATCTATTTTTTTGTATGTACTATTGTGCTAAAACTAAAACAATGTATAAAATGTAAATATAAATTATAAATAAATATAATCGATGTTCGAATAACAAAAAAAAAAAAAAGGATGGATCAAGATTTGTTAAGTAAATGTTCCAACGACAAAACTCAAAAGAAGTTAAATTTTTTTATATACAATATATAGGCGATTGATAAATGTGGCCCTAATAAAAATATCCCGGTAAAAAAAAAGTACCTATCCGCCCACCTATAGGTACATACTAATTGTATCGAGATTTTATTGCTGACGGTTTGACCAAAATGAATAAAATGAACAGCTGGCGTTAGACTGAACTCCCGAGAGTAGAAAAAGAAAACGATGGTTCCGATGAAAACCACTTGATCATGATGGGAAATTATGGTTGCTATATTCGAGGCTCTTTGGTGTTCGCCTCGTGTTGTTAACTTGGGAGTAGTTTTTTCGTTTGATAAAAACTAATATCGAGCTTTACAGGAGAAATTGAACGTACAGAAAGGCCTATAATATATATTATATTTGTACATTAACGCGTAACTAGGTGTTAAATCATGGCAAAGGGTACCATGGCGTGGAACGAGAAAACTTTATTAATCCAAAAGTTGTGTTGCGCGTATATGAAAGCGGAAAGCCATTGAATGTCTTTAGGCCTTGTTAAAATCGAAAATAGAGTTGCCTATTACTTTTATTGCTATAGTATACAAATGGTATATCTCCGGAATTACGATAAATTATAGACTTTTTGAAGGTTTTCTTCACCACATGTCGACAAGACAGACGTAGTTCAACGATTCAATGATTGTCTCTCTGATTATTCCCGCGACTTGTTCGATTACACATTAGGTAACACTGCACCTCAGTAATTTTTATCGGTTAACTATAGTAAATGTCTAGGGCCGAATGCCTAACCTCAGAATAATAAGTAATAACACTAGTGTTTAAGACACTTGTCTATATAATTATGGACTGACAATAATATTTTTCCAACATAATTTTTTTTCACATATATAGACAAAAATATAAATGTTAAGGATGCAGCAGAGTGACGTACATAATACGACTGGAACACCTCAAGCCGAAAACAATATTGAAGGTGTTGGTAATTATTTTCATCATAACTCGCGCGTACTGTGTATCATTATATTATTATGGTATGTAGGTACTCGTTTATTCAGACTTATATAAAATGATCTATGTTTTCGGCAGAATTATTGTATATCGAAAAGCAATAATTGTAAAAAGAATAACAATATATAGTGACGGTCATAATATAAGTTATTAAATGTTAATTATTACATATTACATAATATTAATATAATAGTCGTACATGTAAGATGTACACAACAGTGTGAAATAAAATTCGTCGTTACAATTATAATTATTTTATATATTATCATTATTATTTATTATTAATTATTATTATACACGTAGGTACGATTCACATGTACACGAGATATTATTATAATGAATCTGACGAAGAAAAATAATAACACAATAGGTAGGTGATAGTAAAAATAGATGGATAATAAAATATTAAAATAACGTAGGCATGACGACGTGTTTGTGTGTGCGTGCTAGGTGCCAGGTGGTTTATACCTGTGTGTGTGTGTGTGTGTGTGTGTGTGTGTGTGTGTGTGTGTGTTTGTGTGTGTGTGCGGTGTACGTGTGTGGGCGGCGGTCGAGGAAAAAAAAATTAAATAAATTGACGAATTCTCTCGCGAACGGTATATTATCCTCGTCGATGTCTGTACGTGCTGCTTGCCTATATATTATATATAAACATTTTTTTTTATATATTTCACAGTGCTGTAGTTGATTAGGACGTGTGTGCAGTTAAGCAAGACGGATGCCTTTGCTGTTGGGGCATTCGGCTTCCAATTTCACCGTGAGTTCTGCAACACAAAATATATTAATAGATAAGCGCGAAAAAAAAGATGCCCAATCCGTGTGGACTTAGGAGTTCGTATTTATAATATTGTAACACTGTAAGTTCTGGTTAAATTATGTATATTATATAGCATATTATTGTAGGTTGGTATGTTGAAACATATATTATTATTCCGAGAATATAATATAGTCTATCGATCATTGCGGGACGGTGGATTTATCGGTGGCCGCTATATTTAATATAATATAAGGTATAATACGCGTTTTGGATACAGACACGGTTTATATAAACTGAAGTTCTGAGATGCACCTAAACGTTTACGCCCCGAGAATATTTCATAATTTATTCGTGGTTATGTTTATCGAATAGCCAACAATATAATATACGAGTTAAGCTTCATAACGCGTTAAACCCCCCCCCCCCCCCCCAAAAAATGTTTTTTGTGCTTAACAATCGCGGTTTTTCCTTTCGCATTTATTTGCATTAAAAAAAATATTAGCTGAATCTCTCAAATTTCAATTAGTTTTCAATAGTACACATACACTGTACGAGTGACCCGTGACCGAAATGTGTAAAGGTTTATTTTTGCAATTTGATTGGACATCTCGCGACTCTGAGAATGTCGTAAACAATTAAAATATATTAATATTTATTTTTTATTTTTTTACTACAATTACACAAGCACAGTTGATATTGCAGCGATCGGTCGATTTGGGTATAAAATCATTTAATGTAACATCATTTATATGATGATAAAGAGATAATATATAGAATTAAGATATGCGTTCATAAGGCGTCGTGCTTAAACCACATGTTGTGGTTAAGCAATTAAAATAAAAATATATTGTCTAGTTTCTTGTCGTTGTTAAATAAGTCTGATACAGATTACTCGTATATTGTTATCGACGTTGAATCAGCTGGGCACGTGATAATGTATATTGTTATAATGATACAAGATGCACTCGTGTTCAAAATTTAAAATTACTATAGTTGTATATATTGTATGATATTATATTGGTCTGAGGGAGATATTTTGGGTTACATTTTGTAGCGATATGAATTATTTTGTTTGTTTCGTTTGTGAACTCGTTTTTGGTTAGGAGCACCGATTCAAAAGTTTCATATAACCACTCTATTAGAAATTTGACACATGCACTACATTCGAGTCATTTGCAAAATTTCTCAGTATAGTTTTTGAGAAACTTGCTACAAAACCAGTAGAATTTCCGACAAAATCACGCTTTGCAGAACAAAGTGGATTTCAGCTACCCCGTGACAATATTGAAACGAATGCATAACGACCACTGCAGTTTCCACATTATAATATGTTAATATTATTACAGGCACCTACCTGTTATAATATAATTTTCGTTATTAATTTGAAATTAAGTGTTCGAAACTAAATATACGTCTTGTATTTAGACTAGGATAGACTCTTTGTTTTGTTATTAGATATATCACTGAATCTTAATGTGATTTCAATTTAGAGAAAAAACATTTTTATAAATTGTTTTTCAAATTTGATACTATTCTTGAGTTTATGAGGATTTCTTAACTAATTGCTTAACATACTGATTACTCATTTAATCTTAACGAAAACATTTATAAGTATGATAGGACGTCATAATATTCCTTTTTTGGCTTCTCAAGTATACCTACTGAATTCTACTGAAATATATTGTTAATTGTCTTTATAAAATAGTTTTTTTATCATTGTAAAGTTGTATTGCGCACTTCATGTGCAATTAGTAACAACCAATTGGAGAATATAATATCAACTTTGTTTTCCAGTGTTTCAAAACAATGAACACTTTTCACATCTGTACTGGTATTGTTCAAAACTCGATCTATACAGAATGGATTCATTCAGTTTGTATAGACAGTATTAAAATATATTTTGTTTGTTTATCGTGTAGTTTTTTATTTTTAAATTCTCAGAGTTCTAGGTGGAATGAAGAAATAATTGGTTTTAGAACGATGTGTAAATTTTTCGCGAAAACACATTTTAGATTGTGTTTCCGTTTTTCAATTTAATTTTATATGTATATAATAACCATAACAATAATAATAATAAAAAATAAATAAAGTAAACGATGTAAAAACAAATTTCGATACGTTCGAGTGCTTGGCTTTTTAAGAAAAAATGACATTTTTGTAAATAAAACGATAACAATTTTTTTATGTTATTTCAAAAGTATTCTGAAAAATGTTTTGTTCGATTTTATCATACCATAACGTTATTTGTAGTCATCCATGTTATTCCTATCAATATGTTATAAATATTAAATTTGATAGTTCGAAATATTAGTGATAGCTACTAAATTAGAATTTTCGAACAGGCTGAAAACTCATAATATTCGTCAAACGGAGTAATGTAAGCCAAATGATTTTTATCCCGTTTCATTAAAAAATAAATAAACAGGCTTACCTATGGTATTGTATCAACTGTATGGGTTAAAGCTACTCGAGTAGTATCTCCCGTGATATTACGTCGATTATAATGAATATTGTATCTTATAAAATTTATTTACACAATTATCAATGTTCAAAATTCAAACTTTGTATGAAGGCACTAAAATTAAAATTGAAACACAATAATTGTGTAGACAATCTATTATTGCAGATCAGATCACTTTTCTCGTTGATATTCGAGTTAATAATAGTAAATAATTTTATTTTGTTACGTTATAAATATGATATCATACTATGTGCGATCACTAGTGAGACACATGTTTCGTACACACTTTGTCTGTATGGTATATAATTTGGTAATAATTTTGAAGAAAAACAGTTTTTTATTTTGTAACAATAATTATTACTATCATCGTCATCACTATTCTTAGGTTAGGTTAGGTTAATGATAGTAATAATTATTGTTACAAAATAAACTGTTTTTAACCTAACCTAACCTAACGGTCTAATACTACTTTCTTTTACAGTTTATCATCACCTATAGTTGTTGTTATCTTCTGGTTGTCAGCATATAATATGGTTTTATACCTTATTCCTAGATGGCTGCATAATACTTTATCTAACCTACTCTAATAATGAGTTTTGACAACTCTGTTGGAACGTGTTTAAGAATTCCTAACTTATCCTCCTGTGCCTTTGTATTGGAATAACTTACGCAAGTGTTTTCAAGAGCATTAAACAAAATATTATATTAGGTGTGAAAGTATAGGAGGCTTATTTAAAAAGTGTATACAATAATTTTATCGGTTTAACATTACAACAACATGACATGTGGTGGAATATAAATCCAGAGGTTAGACTCGTCTGGTCTTTACCGTACGATAAGGTTTTAATCTTAAAGTTTAAAGTGATGAAATCGACTGTGAAGTAAAATGATTGCCGTTTAAACTTTAAGCGTTAATATTTCCATCGAATTGCACAGTCAATATAATTGTTTTTTTCTTTTTCTTAGTGTAGTAGTTTATAAACTAGTAAGCTACATCTATGTAATTACATATGATCTAATTTAATATAAATGAGACAAACAAAACACCTTTACTACCTGCTTAGAAACGAAACAATACACATATAGCACATATTTAACAGTTTTGTTTGTAATGACAATTTCTAATAAAAACATCGGTTTTTAATAAATACAACTTATCAAAAGTTCTGATGAACCTAAAAGTTTAATCACTAAAGTTATAAGAAAATACTAAATCTGGTGTTTCCTGTCACTAAAGATTTAAATCCCTTGTTCAATATGGCCTCAAACTTTTGAAAACTTATTCGTTATGTATATTTTTCACCGAGTTACAAAAGAAATTGAATAGGTATTAAAGAACGGTTTCACCCATTATAATATAGTTTGTTTTCCTCGGGTAATATTATGCAAACGTTACATACCTACTCAAAAATATGCCTTTTGGTTTTCTTTATTTGTAAATTCAATTTCACATAATAATATTATATAGGTACCACGCTTTTCATTGGTTAATAAAAATAATTCATATGTTTTCGTTTGAACACACCGACTGTCGCCATTTCATGTTTGATCGTTTGACTATAATCATTTTGGCTGTTTACTTTGTATAAATGTACCTCACGAGTAGTTTTCCAAAAAATCTCATAAAATCAATTGATACTACATATATATTATATATATAATCTATGTATACATCATTACTTAGGTTTAAGACATCTAGCGTTTGTATGTTTGTTTGTGGATAGTCAAATAAATATCAGGGTTAAATAAAAATATTATTTTGAAATAAGTGAAAATAATGTGCCTCATAAAGTCATAAGTCTTTATTAAATTGAAAGCGTCTTTGATTTTATCTCTGACAAAGATTAGGTATGTGTTGAACATAAAGTCTTGCGGTTCAGTGACTTCTGGTCTTGTAATATATAAAATAATACCTTTGTAAGCGTATAAATAAATTAGACGAAAAAAAGAAAGGTTTGTCAAACCTAATAGTTTCTAGGATCAGAAAATAATACACAAATATTCACCATTTCAACGTTTTTCTTATTATTATTTATTACAGTTGTTTCGAAGTGATTTTTAACGAACAGGTAGAGGATATTAAATTTCATAGTCATGTACTCGCATTATCAATAAGGACTGATGAAGTGAATATAACTTTCCGGTAAAAACCACCGACTACCATATTATAATCATAAGCTGTGTATAATATGTCGAGTTGTATTTTGTTGTTAAAAATTAGTGTACTACTCACAACGCATTAAAGAAATATAATATAGTTAAATACATAAGATAAACAATTTTTGAAGAATACATACAAATAAAAAATATAAACATATAGATTATTCAGGGCGTCCAAGCTCTTAGTATGCGAATAAAGGGTATGGTAGCACGGAGTGGTGTTACTAGAAATAGAGAAAGTAGGCTGGTTTTAAGTAAAATATGTGAAGAAAATCTCAAAGATTCTTCCTAGAAAATCGTGCAGCATCTCTCAGATACCCATTTTAAAGAGAACTGATAAAGTGTCAGCCACCTAAAACGTGCCACGAGGACTATAAGTGAATAGTAGTGATGGATAGCTAGGACATTAAGAATATAAGAAGCATATCCAATAAATACCTATTTTAACTTGTTCAAAGATAAGTTGGTCTTTCGTAGAGAAAGGGAGCCATATAACCACAACATATTATTCTGATAAAGATTAGGGTAGTTTATGTAAATATATTATGTATATAGTTTATTTCAAATAAATATGCTACATTACCTCCAAGAGATACGTCCATCAGATCCTTTAAAATAATAGCTGATGCAAGCTGATCCGACTGCCTCTGAACAACCCTCATATGCGTAGGTTGACGATACAACGTTATCATAAAAATATTTTTTTACCGTTTGCTGTACGCTATGTATATCTACCTTAAAAATCATAATCTCACTCTTACACACAAATGCAGACGTAATGTTTGTCAGGGACGCGTCTCGGCAAGTCTGATGCAAACAAATAAAGCGTCCGGGATAAAATGGACGTGGTATGTGTATGCGGATAAAGTTAACCGAAATGGACACGTGTCTACAGGGACTGACTGAACATTTAACCGAGTAGGTTAAATTATATCATAATATATTATGACGCCCTCGAGTATCCCCGTTTAGTCGTATAATATCCGTGCGTGGGTGTACATTTTTACGACCAGGTGCGGATTCATATCGGTTGAAAGATAAAAACGATAATGATAACGGAGTTGAAAAGGACGTACCGGCAATAATATAAAATTTTCCTCTTTTATGCTTATAGATACACCCGTTTATTAATATATTAGGTTTCAGGAACCTACCTAAATCATAGACTTCGGCGTCCTCATACCTTACTTTAGATTGCCAAGTTCCAACATTGTTAGAAACAAATAGTTGATACCTGTATATTTAGGTCCCATTATATTACTATAATGGGACCTAAATATACCTGCAGTGTATGTTTTATTTTTCCAAAAAAATGTTTTTATCTTTGTTGTTGAACTATTATCCCTCTCTCTATCATGATATTAGTGAGTATAAATGGTACCTAAGTTGTATGCTATATTGTTAGTACTATGTTGGCTCCTCTCTCTCTGTTATCAGTCCATTTATTTATAGGCCTATGACTTAAATACTTAAATTATAGGCTTACTTACACGATATCATAATAATAATATTATCACACTGGTGCGTCCTATTTTTCGTATATTATTATGTTTGAGAACGCTTAAAAACGTAGTTATACCGTCTTCACCAGGGTGGTTCATCGAGACGGATTAACCGAGACGATTTGTCTTCCCTCCACAGAAGTTCGTTTTAATTAGTTTCATTATATATTATTATACACAGATATTATACACAAACGTAACATTTTAACTAATCGGTGCAATTACTATTCGTGCGCTGTTCCAGATTAAGATTATTAATACAAGAAATTGTTATACACTCTCTTGCGATACAGGACGATAATAATAATATTAACTGAGTAGAATATTGTTGGGTTACTAAAATACTCGCATCGTGGACACCGGACGAAAATCTGCCGCGGTTCGAATATTATGTATAGTTATAATGTTATACTTGAGATTCGAGAACACACTAATATATATTATATTATAAACGTATTGGTAAATATTTTTATTTTTTAATTCGATTTAATTATTTTGAGAATAAAATACAAATATTCCTAAAAACTATATCATTACTTCAATGCTTTTTTTATTAATCGAGAAAACTGTTCTTGGTTAATAACACCGTTCAAATTGAATTGAAAAATATAAAAATAAAACTGAATAAAATAATTAAAAGTCATTCCGGAAAATATTTGGTGTTAGGTAACGTGGTTAAACACTTTAAACACGCATTGTAATACGTAATACACAACCTGTTTTTTGATTTTAGATTTTTGTTCACAAGCTAACAACCGCACAATTTACCTATGTTCTGTGCAATATCAAATGCTGCAATAAATAATGAGCACATGCAATTCATTTTTTTTCTCTACATCGAGAAACGCATGCCGATTGACAAGCACGCGATATAGTTGATTTTCCCCGGACATAATGATATTATATTCATACGAAGTGACGTCCCGTGCAATTAGTTTTGCTGTTTTGCGTAGGTACCTACCTATATAAAATGCGTGTGGAATTCGAGTGTTTTAGCTTTGCTGGCGTAACGCGATGGTTAACGTTAAAGGGTGCCGCGGGGACGAATTGAAATCGATCGTTAAACGATTTCTGGGGCAGGGAGGAGAAATAATAAAAATAAAAATAAATTTGATAGGACGAAACAAATGGTATTTTTTTCGGTGTGAAATAAATTACTATTTCAACGATTAGTTGGAGAGCCTATAACTGAAAATCGAGTTTTTGTTCGGTTTCTGTGTTAATGAGGTGTTTATAGAGTGTTCAGACACGTCGCACAACGGTTTGCAGGCACACTTCTGCCTATCGGCAACTATTGGCACTATTGCCGACCATTATACCTATGTAAGGCTGAAGTTCATAATACGTATATAACATACATAATTTATTTCATTACTATCGATGAATGATTGTCTGCTATACTCACTTGCGTTGTGCTCGCAGTTGTATTTCTCCATGACGCACTTGTTGCCGAAGCTCAAGTTCACTTTGGCCCCGTCAGATCCGCAAATCGGGTTGTAATCGTTCGGGCACTCGGACTTGCATTTACGGGCTGGAGAAAGCGTGGTCGTCGTGCTGGTCGTCTTCAACTTGTGGCTGGTGCCTATCTTCTTGTCTCCGGCTGGACTGCCATTGACAGATACCAACGCGATGGTCAGACCTACAGCACAATATTATATTATTCAGAAAACCGTTGTTATTTTTGTAAAATGTATGTGTGAGTGTGTGTGTTTTTTTTAGTATGGCAGAGAATATTGCAGAGTGTTCAAATGTTTTTTAAGATTTTTGAGGACATAGCGTTAGTATACTTTGGAAAACTAACTGTCAGCATTGGAATTAGTGACGTCTATATATTTACGATCACCGCCTGTTGAAACCGTACTACGATGTTATTTGAGCGAGGTTTATCGATAAGTCTTTTACAAAGATTGTTATACGGGGGAGAGTATGAAACTCGATTTTGATGTTCATAAAAAAAAGAAAACTAAAATGTAGTACCTACGTCTAAAATGTCATTGACATTAAATTACTAGGCTTTCTTTTGAATTTTGTATTTTTCTAAGATACAACGTTTCTCGCTGAAAAACATGTTTCTATCCGGAATCTAATTTTAAGAGAATAATGCATTATATAACAACATTATGCATTATTTTATTATGACGTTATTTAAACACTTAAATTTTATGAATAAGCTATCTTGGAGCTTGAACCATTGAAAAATTAAATATGTACAAGATAATTATTGTTTTTTTTTTAGTTTAGAGACCAACAAGTGAAAATCGTCTTTTAAAAAATGAGGTAAATTATGATTGATGATAATTAATGTGGAACAATGACTGGAAAAATTTCATAACGTATTATTATCAATAAGAAGAGATTGCATTTAGAGAAAAATAAGTGAGAAAATAAATTAATTTACTTTGCTACAGAATTGAGAAAATAAAATCGTTCTACGTCAAAACAACTAAAGTTGTGATTTTATAAAGCTAAAATAAAACTAGATTTCAAAACCAAATTTACTACCTGTATACAAGCGTTGTGAAAAGATATGAGATACTAGAATAAAATAATGTATAGTAATATTATATTTTGTCATAAACACACCTCATAGTTACACATTGGAAACATCAGATAAAATAAATTGCATAGCAATATAGCAATATAGCGTGGCTGCGTTTATTAAATCGTTTGAATATCGACTCGTATATAGTCGTGTCATTTGTCTAGGATAAAGGTTAAAAGTAGTGTATAAGATGTCATGTACAAAGAAACTCGTTGATAGCGATAGATTTTGTATCCTCGCCACTATTGCGTCACTTTTGTATATGATTTTAATATTATATACATATAATATTATTATACAGCGAAGAAGGACGTTATTCAATTTTTGCCACTTTTGAGCTAATCGTTAATACCAGTATATTGTAATAAAGCATGATCTATTAAAAAGAGTGGGTAGTAAATTAGAAAATGTCGAATGCATCGAATGCAAAATTGTTTGTTTGCTATGAAGTTTAGTTTTTGAATATTTTCTCATGAAAATAATCTGAACCTGAGTTATTCCTTTTATTTTATGTTTTTTTTTTTTTATCAAGCTAATACTATCTGAGAGTGCAAATATAAATTGGATGCGATAGTGATGTACTGGTTTAGAGCCTTTAAACGATTATTATTGCTTTTAATCAGGTATTTTAAAAATCGGTGTCAACATTATTTCTGAATAAGCTTGACAATAAATATAAAAATATATTGAAAAAATCTTCTTCTTAAACAAGCGTATAAGTCAATACCTAGTTGATATTTTCTTTTAACTGTAGATATATTGAATATATAATAATATAGCTGAGTAATACCATGAAAAGAGTTTTCACCGGGTTCTCAAATTTGTTTGGTCTTTCAAAAAATAAAATAAATGTTCTTCGACCACAATAAATAATTCTAAATTAACCAGAATAGGAGACAACTATTTTCTATTTTATTCAATTAAAATTTTGACTTAATAATAGTTCAAAAAGATAAGATAAAAGCAACGGTTTACAACCAGATTGTAGCTCATTAATGGTATAAAAATAAGCTTATTTATGTGCACTTATTCCACACCACCCTACTACCTCAGTAAAAATTTGGGTTTCACACACTTGAGTTATCATCATAATCACCGAGTGTTCGTATAAATAATACGTTAGTTAAAAGTTTTGTTTAAAAAAAAATTTAACAAATAAATGTATATTTTGTATTATTAAAAAGTTATTGCTATTACTGATAAGTGATAAGTAAAATTTATATTTCTGTATGTTCGATAATGATGAACTTACGAGTTGTAAACATGTGCAATATGACTAAATACCCACTACATAAATGTACCTAAATCATTTTGAGTGTAAATTGTATTTGTTTTGTTAAATTGTGGATTCAGATATCATCTTTAGCAAAGAGATCAATAGCATAATTATACAGCATTTTTTCATCATCGTGGATTTAAAACCAAACAGAAATTCAATTTTATGAGATGGAACGTAGATGGGTTCTTGCGACTATTATCCTGAATACAGGTATTATCTTAAGAAAACTATTTAAAAAAACCTCTGACATTAATTTAAATTTAAGATTAAATATAACTCAAATTCAAAACATAAATGGATCAATGAAATAACTGATAGTGGGTACTGTGTTGTTGTAGTCCACCTATATATTGTAATTATCATGATGGAATCAGATCATTAGGAAGTCTCAGTTCGTAGTCGAACAATTATTAATTTAAAATGTCTCACAATATGGACATAAACATATGGGTTTAACTAATACAGACTAGCTAATTATAATGTACGGATCGAACACTATTTCATGAATCATAATACTTCCATTACGAATTAACTCGATTAATTCGACTATTGTTTTCAGTGTTTTCAGAATTTAACGCAGTACAACGTGTTGAAATTAAAGTACATAATATCGTGCTGTCAAAAAAATGTAATCGAACACAGTGAAGCTCTTTGAATATGTCGACAACTTTTTACATCACTGAATGGTACACATTCAGTAGGGTATCAATGTTTTTTTGTATTTTTTCCCAAGATTTTATTACGCCATAACCCATTGAAAGTTTCACGCGTGTGCATTTACTGTACTTTATTATATTCTAATTTGTAGTTGTAAATTTAAAATTGAAATCCATTTAACACGAAAACATTTTATACTTATATGCAGTATTGTGCGCATTTCATTTCTAAGTGCAATTTCTCATACCTAGCGGATTTAATGAATACAACAGAGCAGCGGTTCCCAACCTTTTTATATCCACGTAACACCCACACATTTTGAAAATTTGCATGTACCACTTGACCAAATAACCTTTTTTTTGCTTATTAAAAATGTATACTTTATTCTACATGTATGAAATTTGATTTATTAGAAACTATGCAACTATGACAATATAAGCATTTAATGCACACAATGAAAATGAAATATGTAAATAAACCAAATAGTTTTTAATGTAAATAATGATCCATTCCATTTTTTTTTTTTTTTACAAAGGGACCTCTCTTCACCTACCACCTATGAGCTTTCCGAGTACCTCAGGTAGAGGAACTCTGCAATAGAGTTACTACTGTTATTGATAATAATAATAAAAATAATATCGACTTACCTACTAACAGGACTAGCATTAAGGATTTCATGATGTATTCGTTTTGCGTTGTTTATACGTCTTGTTTATGATGATAATAATAATTATCGTGTTTCGTGCACTTAGAGGGACCAAGCGTTTTGTTCGCCGGACGACGTAGTGCAGCTCTCTTATATAGACGGTTCTCCTACCCATAAGTGTATTATTTTATTTTATTTTTCCTGTTGACCGACCGACGTGAGAAAGGTCATACCTATATCGTACTTGCTGCTACAATATAATTGGTCGTCCCTTCACCGCCGCCGCTGCTGCTGTCCATCAATTATGTAACAAAAGTGCAATGCATATACACATTATTATGTTTATACACAAAGGATGTACTTTGTGTGTGTTTGTGTTTTTTATTTATTTTTTTTTTATTTCATTCGTCTGTCTACTAGGTAAATGCGTTTTGGAAATGATTTGTGTTCGTCACGATGTGAATATTGCGGCGCGCTTCGTTAAAAAATGACTTTGACCCGTCGCAAGGTTATGCCAATAAATTTATGGTCCGAGACGCGTTTCGTATGCATACATCACGACATACCGCGATGTTCGTCGTCAAGGGGTCTTTGTTCGACAACAATATTAATAATACGTTCATCTCAAATAAAATGCAGTGGTTCGTGGATCGAGTACAATAGCAATGCTCGTTTCACAGCAACTCTGTAAACGAATTCGGTTTTTTTAGGTGTAGGTACCTAATATTATTATAGTATCGAGCGACTTACAGAAGTACACAATTTTTAATATGATACAATAAAGTAATTATTCAAACGTCGTATATAATGGAAATGATAATGAACGGCTAATCAGGAATTAGTCATATTTTCATTATTGTACTCTACTCCATTTTTTTAACTGCCGTATAGGTACGTCACACTCTCGTCCAGAATCAATACGTTTGCAACCAAATTTAAAATAAATGTCCGTTAAATCAAGCTGTACAGCTCATGTACAGCAGTGTATATTGTATATAGTACCTATATAGCTATAGGCTATAGTACCCAGTTAAGCCGAAATAATGCTTTCATCATGAAAATATTAAATTTATAAAAACAAAATTTGTAACAATGTAATAAAAATCAAAAAAATGATCAATCTCATCAGACTGCAAAATGAACCGCTTTGATATCATATTAAAGAAAACATTATGTAAAATGTACAGCATGATAATAATAGTATACCGCGTAATAGTGCTGCAGTTATATTATATTCAAAAGGGGTAAGCCTCAGTGGCGTTCTTACTTTTGGAGGGAGGCAGGGTAATTTTATTCGGCTACATAGTATGCCTGCACGGTGTTTGACATAAATATCGTACATGTGATACATATTTGCTCCTATAGTGGCTTTCGTATCTCCCATGTGGCCATGTGTGTCAATGTGAGCCATGTGGAGTGACCTGCAACCTCAGATTGTCATCGATATCACATCGGAGATTATGTGTAGTGTGAGCGAACGCCACAGTTTACTTATACATAGTTCATAATATATACACGTTCGAATAATATTATGTATCGTTGAACTTTGGCCAGCAAGGAGGTGGAATACGGAGGACCTTGATGAGAAAAAATCTCAAGTTCAAAGATTGGTTCGGAGGAAACCGAGTTAAACGAATTACACTGGTGTCATTGTTGTCGCCGTCGGCCGACCCTATATTGCATTGGGAATATAATTTAACCTATTACACGACCATTGTTGTTGAATTTACTTTGCACGACCGCTTCTAAACTGCTCTTCAGACCCCCCCCTCCGCCGTACTATAATACGAATTTCCAGACGCTCGTCGTCCTGATCCATCCAATATTCTTCGTCTAACACAATTATATTAATATTTATGTTTAACTTTTTCTCTCAAAAACTTGGTTGCTTTAAAAACAATATTGGTGACTTATACGTGTGTATAAGCCGTATATGTCCTGAATATTATATATTTTATATAAAACAGTAGTTATCGTTTTATGAAAATGTATATTATAAAACATTATAATATTATTATATTAAATCAACCATACAGAAATTATTTTAAAATACAATATAATATTTATATACAATAATTTTAGCTATGTTATTCACGGTGAATATATATGTTAGCGGTAATGTATGTAATACGTTATTTTATTAAATAACTAGTTATTCTATAGAATTACGGAATTTCATACATTAACGCTAACATATATATATATATTTATATAAAAGTCAATCATTTATCTATGTATATCAGAAGTAGCAGCGAAATTTTGAAATTCCATCATGCTCGAGTAATGCGTTGGGTCGTCGTCACACAAGTACCAATGTAGCTGAATTCAGTGGCTAAAACAAAACAAATATAATAATATTATTTATGGGCTTATGGCGTAATGACATTAATTATTACTCGTATCATGTATGCTATTTATTATTTTGTATATAATTAATTTACGTTGGTAAGTATTATAGTGTGAATCGTGTATTCGTGTTCACTAATAATCACATAAATTTATTCAGATAAATAAACTAATATAACACACACTTTTCAAGAAATAAGATTTTGATGCGATTCACATACTTAGTTCGGAAATTTTTCTCAGAAAGTCAACCATATCAGAATTACGAATGAAATGTATTATAGATGAATAATTGAAAACAACAGGGATTTAAAGTTTCAGGAACCCGATAATGATTTATACATTGGCACCTACAATGATTTATGTTTAACTATTAATTGAATCTCAAGAAAAATTGAGGTTAACCAAAAGGATAATACTATATTATTATATAGAGTATACTGTACACTGCACACACTGCCTACCACAAAATCCTACACTGTAAAATAAATAAATTGTTATATCGTTTCCATCCCAAGCGAGCGTAGTAAAATAATAGGTACATATCATGGTTACTTATTAAGTTGGTTTATTGATCGAGCAACAAACAAAACAACAATACTTACGTATACCACAGTTGGCGACACAATCCAAAAATCGTCTATTTTGGTAAGTCTGTGAATCACTTCCACAGACGGGATTGTATTCGTTTGTAATCTTTTCTCTACAGGTCGTATTGCATGTGTTTCGTTGAGCTTCATTTGCCTCTTCACTGTTCGATGAAGTCGTGCTGGTTTGTACTTGATTTTGATTTACGGTCGTTTGGGTAGGTGGTCTGTTACCTTGATTGTTTTGTCCCTGATTGTCACCGTTGGTACCCCATTGGTTTTGTCCCTGGTTATTGCCGTTGGTACCCCATTGGTTTTGTCCCTGGTTATTGCCGTTGGTACCCCATTGGTTTTGTCCCTGGTTTTGACCAGGGTTTTGTCCCTGGTTTTGTCCCTGATTTTGTCCTTGGTTTTGTCCCTGGTTAACGCCATTGGCGCCCCATTGGTTTTGTCCTTGATTATTACCGTTGACACCCCATTGATTTTGACCCTGATTATTACCATTAGTACCCCATTGGTTTTGATTACCAGATGGCCTATTTCCAAAGCCCTGTTGTTGGTTAGGTCTTTGATTGGACCATTGGCCTTGGTTTCCACCAGACGGTCGGTTATTACCTTGGGGTTCGAGCCCTGCAAATGGATCTCCTTCGTTAGGCATCGGTGGTCTTGGACGACGATTACCTTGTCTTATAGTTCTTCTGGGTGGTGGTCGTTCATTACTAAAGTCCCATGATGAATGTTGGTATCTTGAACTCAGTACTTCGGGAAATACAACATCGTCCAACGGTACTCCACCGTAAACGGATAAAACCGACAGTCCACAACATACTAAAAATTGATAATTTTTAATTGAAATTATATGGTTATAACATAGGAAAAAGTGGGATACCGATGCAATCTAGGTATTAGATACTAGGAACTTAACATATTATAAAGGTTAACTGGTGTAATGTATGATCACGGTTATCTACTAGTAGTAGATAACCGTGGATTCGTAGATATGATGTAAGTAAGTACCTATAGAATAAATGAGTTTTGATTTGGTTTCCTGTCATATAGTAATCTAGAATAGTATTAACTCGTGTGATTGTCCACGGATTTAAATAATTGATAACATCAATAATGTTAAAATACTGAAAGCATATAGGTGGTTATAAAATATAAATATAGTAAATATACCTATTCGTCAATTTATATTCAGGTAATCAATTAGTGCCTGTATTTGCTATATATACAAACGAAATTCCGCCTATGAAAATTTAATAGATACATGTAGTATTCACTTGAACTGACGGAGTGATAACTATACACTCGTTACTCAAATTCAAGTATAAACAAAAATAATATGAATGTCAATAATTCGTTTGGATTGAAAAAAATTGGTCTAGGTATTTGTATTATAAAACTTAATAACAATTATAAAATACAAGTACTAAGACCAATTTTTTTCAATCTAAACGAATTATTGACATTCATATTATTTTTATAATATAAATTGTGTTTTTTGTTTACTGTTGAATTATCGGCAAATTAATTGAGTTTAATAAATATCTATATAAGTGAGTATAATATAATAATGCTACGTGTTTTATTTTTAAATATGTGTCGAATGACGTATAAAATAGACGATTTGTTTTTAAATGAAAATACAACGTCGATTGTTATTATAATATTATGATAAGCCTATTCAATTCAATATAATATAATATGTCAAATACATAATAATATGATAAAATACAAAATAAAATGAATTTACTTATAAAATTACTGTTGATCTAAATTATAAATATGACATGTCCTGAGTACCATTATCAGTACAGGTATTAGTTTATTAAAAAAAAATCTACTCATTTAAATACTATTAATATTTATAAGCAACTATTGAAAATATTTGTATACCAATTTTTTTTTACCACAGGTGTTGTATAAATCAAGACAAAAGTTCAACTTAAATATGATTCGAGTGCATTATTTTTGAATAGTGTTTTGGGGACTCGGGCCACTCAATCGCTAAGTGCAGAAGCTTGTTTAATATGTACGTAGAATTAACACGTTTGTACGAAGTATTGAGGGGCTTTCATTAATGATATTGGTAGGTAGGTATTTAGTTTTATGGAAATTTTAGGAGATTACATGTTTTGTACGGTACGGAATTATATAAATGGAACTTTTATTAATTTTTTTAGTACCTATCTATAGTATAATTTTAAGGGGTCATTCTAGAATTTTTATATAAAAATAAAAACCAATAATTGGTTTGAGTAGATTCTTTGTTCTTGACCTTCAGCATCTTTGAAAATTATTTTTTTTTACCATAAAATACGGTCGTTATTTTTTAATAATGACTGAAAAATAACCTTGTATACACATGACACGTTTGATGTTTGTCGAGGTTTAATAATAATAATAATAATAATAATAATCTTAAAAATAATTATCAGGTTCATTAGTATAATATTTAACTAAACAATTTCTCACTGTAAATATTGTAAACTAGGTTTACTAAATTAGTGCACCTGATGGATTCATCATAGTTTTTTACAAACTAGTATTTTTTTTTAAACCTTTACTTTTCATAACCTCCTCCCGTTTGAATGTTAATTTACTACCTATATTATTTATTAAATATTAATTTTTATATTGGTATTAAGTCCACGTCTGTATAAATATCGTTGAATATAATTAAACTCTTTTATCTATAGAATATTAGTGTTTATAATTCATAGGTTTGCAGATTCAAACAGTGCTCAACATTTATTTGTGCTTATAATTTATAATATAGGCAGTCAATTCGTAGTTTTTCACGTACTGCAATTGTCTAGAAAGTTTGGAAAAGTTTAAATGTATAATTCATATATCTCAGGGTGAAACCTTGGAAACTTCCTGGATACTCAATATAGAAATTTCGATTATGCAATGTCTATTATTATTTTTACGCTAGTCTTTTTTATGTATAGCAATTAAATTATTAAATTATAACATATAAGATGTAATACTGTATTTTTTTGTCGCATATCTATCCTAATTATTCATTAAATATTATTATTTTTAAAACTTTAACATAAAATTAGTTGCCGTGCTCTTTATTTTGTAAATTCACTGATAGAATTTACTCTCGCTTGGAGCAATCAATGAAAATTAGTAGCTTGGAAAATCATAATCACATCACATCTTTGAAAAAGTCATCAATTACAGAGAATACAGATAATTAGGTATTGAGATATTTTCAATTTATGACAGGTCTTAATAACAGTTACAATTGAAAAGTCAATACTTTTCCTCGCTTCCCATTTTATTACATATCATCTAAAATATTGGCATCAGCGAGTGACTGCAGTCCATGGTTGTGAATTTACTGACACCTTCTCCCCTTATATCAAATACTTTTTCAATTAAGTAGCTACACCAGTATTATACGACCGAAGTAAATTACATTAATTTAATGTTTATTTAATGCGATTATAATATTATTATTTGTCTCCAATGAGTAAGTTTTCTCAACATTTAAATTAAACTAAAAATATGCATTTTTACTCAATTTAAAATTCTTAGAATTTTGTGATATTGTCTTATTATATGAAAAAAAAGATACTTTACAAAATACTTTGCCCGTCATGGATTATATTTAAATATGACTAATAGAAAGCTATCGAAAGAAAATATTCAAACTTTCAATAGCTTTACATAGGTAATATTATGCCAGTATTTCAAGTAATATGTTATTTAATAATTAGGAGTACTTATATAGGTTTACTTATATATATAATTATACGTTATAGCGTTAGAATTTTGAAATGTCATTATTTTTTCTTTTTGAAAGCTTCAAACCAAGTCTTAGATACCTATTTTAACTATTTATATTTTGATGAATAGTCTACGACTGCATTGCTAAATCGTTTATAGACTATAGAGCATTGTTGTTCTATCGTAACTGAAAAATATGATATACGTATAACTTGTAGTTGAATAGATTTAATTTATTGGTAGGTAATGTTCGACAATTATTTTGAAAATCTATATAATATTATTATGATGTAGGATTATTATTTACATTTAGTAGATACCGGAAGGATATTAAAAACAATAACAAAAAACAAAATGTTTCCATCGAAATACATAGGTACACCTATATCGAACAAATCTGTAGCCTCGTCGCCAAAAAAACGAATCCCAATGTTAATACTATTATTAATGAAGCGAGATGAAATTTAAAATAAATGTACAAAAACCTTCGTTTATACAATTTTAGGTATAATCTCAAAACGGGATATATTGGTTCCGCCAATATTAATTATTGCGATTTAAAAGTTCAGCGGTTGTCAATGACATATTGTGATGACAAAACTACACTTTCTGACCAACTAAGGACAATATAAGGCAATCTAAGGGTCGTTATATCCGTCAGTTCTAGAAACTGACAATCAATCAAGAAATATTAAAAGTCAGTATTTTAGGTAATAATAATTTTTAGTATAGGCACATAATAATATAACCTGGGTGCATAATATGCTATAAATAAAATAAAACTATATAATATTATACTCTATTATCAATAATGTATATGTTAATTAAAAAAATATTGATGAAATTAGGATTTGTAAAGTTTGATTAGGAAAGTTTATATTTTCTTTATACTTACTTATTCCTGGTTCGACAAGTAGGTAATGTTTTTGGTAAAAAAAATAAATAGCTCAACCTAAAGTACGTCTTCAAATTGACGAAATCGATAGGTTGTTTTAAATCTACCCTTACTGGCAAAAACTTTGTACCTTTTCCCTCCAATAAAAAGAAGTCCAGTGGAGTCAATGAAATCCCATTTTAAACATGATTTTTCTGGGTATCAAAATTATAAAGGGACATGGTATGTTTGGAAACCAAACATTTTAAAGATTAGTATGTTAAGTAATTGGATTTTAATACACATAAATGTACAATGTATATAAAGTATTGTACTGCGTGTTATATATAATATCAAAATATTATTTTTAATACTACTTATGTATTTAATTTTAATATAAACTGTTGAGGAATAATTGTTATAAAAACTTTCATTTTGCTAAGTTCACATCCCAAAGATACTCATTTAAAAAATACCCTAAAAAAAATGTGTACTATATTTTATTCACCCATGATAATATTATATTCTTGTTAATATTATAATAGCGACATTGCGAATAAAATCAATAGAGTACCCACAGCTAATGTACCATGAACAATGCACTTAACGATCAAATGTCGTAGCCTGTCAGTACCTACTCGTATAATGACAGATAATGATTGTAATTTTTTTGAAATAATTTGATGAAAATCACAGAGGGATCACATTTAATAAAAACAATAATCGTCTGGAAAGTTAATACTACCTACGATTAAGTATAAATGATTGCGTACGACGAACAAACTAAATAGAACCAGGACACCTAGGAAGTGAAAAAAACCAGGTTTGTATAAAATGGGAACCTTGCCACTAATTAACCCCTGGATGCCACCACTGCCATAAAACTGTTTATAAATATTATTCACTAATTGTATTAATTACTTACGGAATAAGACGACAGACAGTCGACACACCGACATCGTTGTTGTTAGCTGTTCGATCACGAATTCGCACTGAGACGATCTCGCGATCGTCCAATATAACGCCACTATTATCGTAACATTAATATATTATTTTATTATTATTATGGTCACAAAACACGCTAGCAACTTATAAAAACCATTAAAAACTGTTAATTTACACGACTGCGGTACGAAACCGGTTTTGTATTAAAGGTTGTTGTTTTCGTATTCATGCAGATTGTGTAAACGGAAAACCCGTGTTCTGAGTAAACAGAAATCAAATCAATTATTTGTGTATAATAATGTAGGTATATTATACATATTTTATACCATAACCATTAACCATATTATCATAATATCATATAGCTCGACGGAAAATAAATATGGTTTTCGCAAGTATCTGCGCTCATTTGGATGACGTATCCGCAGGTACCTACCATATACAATTAATATGTTTGGCCTCTGGCGAATACATATCATTATATAAACAAATTAACTATATGAAAATCGTATATTTTTTTAGGAACACTAAGGATGGCCGGAAATCAAAATTATAATACATTAAAAAAAAGACATTCATAAAAATGATTTATGAGTTATGTGTATGACTAAAACCGACTAAAATCTATACTAACAATGAATCATTATGTAAGAGCGATTTGACTTTGCCTGTATTATAGTTAAATATATTTATTTTGAATAAAATCAAAAAATCAATCCACTAGCCTGAATATCACCTAACCTAATCCGGAAGAATGGTCAAAAGAAAAAAAGAAAATATTCACGAGCTTTAAGTGTAAATAAGTGTAATAATAAAGTCATTTTGAAGATGTGTGTTGAATTTAGTTAAATGTAATTTGTATAGACAGTGTTTTGTTACATTTTAATGGCGGAAAAAATGTTAGAGTGGTACACGATTAAGATGTAGAGATAATAAATTATTGCATTCAAAGAATATTTCTGTGGAGACTTCCGTTTACAAAATATGCTGAAAATGGGAGTTTTTTGTTGTTATTTTGCATTTAGAATATAAAAAAATATATAGAGAAATAATATTGAAAATGGTCTCTTTAGAATAACTACACGCATGATTGCATTTCTGATCCATATACACAAAAAAACAATTAAACGCTATTTTTCACGAACGAGTGGTTTTAAACCTAAGTCCTAAGACCATCCATAAATACAGCAATAGAAAAATTTAACAATTTCAATATCACATGTTATTACTTACGGACCGGCGTTGTATTTCAAATTTAAGTCTATGTTTATCATAGCGTTTACATACCTAATAACAAATAACAATTCTGACAAGATTCGAATATTACTACAACCAAGGTAGTGGCAGAAGATTTTTGCCATAATATAATGTGTCTACCGCAAAACATGGAGATCCTCAAGGTCAGTAGTTTTTATATTATAAAACGGCTTGTTAATTTTTTTTAACAACAATGCAAGCCGGTGGCCCTTATAAATGTTTCCTCCTTAAACATATTATACGTTCTTAATTTATCATAATATATATGTATGTCTTGGCAAACTTCTAAATTTTAATCGTTTGCGTCTCATCCGTAATATGGACGTACCGCAGAGAATAATGCTTTTTCACATGTATATTATTATTGTTGCTATTGACTACGCTCGTGCGGCGCAAAACCATATTGCTCCTCGCTATATTATATACAGGGTGATCTATTTAAATGTCTACACTCATTATTTTGAAAAGTTTAAACTTCTTGATTCCACATTCAGAATATTATTCGGAATATTTCAATCTATAAGAAAATCAACTTTTGGACATGTAGCTTATTAGTTATAACTTATAGGTAAGTTATAAGCGATTCAAGTTTAGATGAGCTGAGTAGATTGATAGGTATAGAGAAATATTGTCCACTACTCCGCTAATTTACACTTTAAATGCTTATAACAACTAATTAACTATTTGTCCGAAAATTATTCTTTACGTATTAAAATACTCTGAATAATATTCTTTTTCGGAATATAAAATAAAATAATATGAATGTTTATTTATCTGTATCATTCAAAAAAGTAAAAAGTATTTTTCAGAAATGTTGTATGAAATTACATCATGTATATGAGAAGAATATTTTCAAGAAACATTTCAAAAATTTTGGAAATAACGAGTGTAGGCACTTAAATATGGTACAGGACAAATTCGCTATAATACTATTTTTACAAATACGATTTGTACGTACCTATCGTAAAGGCCTTAGGGAGATGATATAAAAAAACATAAGCATAATAGCCTGTACAAATACAAGTATTAACATATTTTATACTAATGTATTTTAGATACAAGTTACAAACGGTTTATTGTATAATATAAAATATATTAGAGTAGACAAATTATTTTAATACAACTAGAAATCTAGATCACATTAATATTGTATTGCAATATTTTTATTATTGTGTACTCAACAGTAAACCGAACAACACTCTTCCCGGAGACGCGTTTAGTGTATTATTTAAATTATAAAGAAATATGCTGTCATGCTGATTCTGATAAATAATTGTGCACGCTCACACTACAACACGAACCATAGTAACAATATTAATATCCAAATTAATGCTTAAACTAAATTTTATACAATTTTAAAATAGGTATAGGTATTAATAAATTATAACGCTGTCTTGTTTAAGCCCTAAATAGTCAAAATCAAGATCCTTCAAAAATTGATTTTTACATTTAACTCATGCGTGCTTGACTCTGCAGTACATATCCCAACTAAGAGTGTTGGCTTTAATACTATATGCTCAGTTTTTATTTAAATATTATATTATATTGCATAATATATTATTGACAATATTGTAATCATAACATGTACTACAATATTATACCATAACAATAATTTTATCCTTATAGAATCATCATCAAAAGAAGAAATACAAACTCGAAACACAGTTTTTTAAATTTGACTTATCTGTACTTGAAATATTGGAATAGTTATGTCTAGATTAGTATAATGATGGTAAACTATTTATCTAAAATTTGATTTGATTTTTGTTATTTTTAAGTGGTCACCGCTTGGCAGTGATTTAGCAATTATCAATACTTTCGACGTCAGTTGTAATTTGTAGGCACACTGTCAGTCAATCTCAAGGTCCTTTGGCAACGGCTTAGTTGGAAGCTCTCTGACGATGATGACGATGACAATTGGTCCAATGGAGATTGTTCTTTTTCCGACCTGAAAATGAGAAATAATTAGGTTAAGGGTTTAATAGAAAGAAGAATTCAAATATTTTATATTCAAAAGTGATTGTAAGTAATTGCTTATGATAGTAAAAGTACGAAACAAAACTTTGAGTTTATAAATGTTCAGAAGGGATGAAGGGGGAGTGAATTTCAACTCATAAATGAATAATTTGCATGAAACCATTACTACTTACAAAGAAGGTATGGTTCAAATTACAAGTTTCTAATACCACAAAAAGTGCACCAAAAATGTTGCATTTTTTTCTTTGAACAAATTTTTTTTAACCCTGAGGCATAAGACGTATTAATGTCAATAATATTTTATTATTTTTCAACTATCCCACATTAAATCATTAAAGTGTTTTTTAATTGTTTTCAAAATACACCGCACATCGAATTTTTCATTCAACTGAATCGAAACTTTATTTATTTATTTATTTTGTTTGTCACTATATCCACAAAAAAAATTTCTACAAGGTGGCTTCATGAAAACATATTATTACTTTCAGTTTTTTTTATAGACACTCGAACTTCTCAGTTCCATCATCAGTAATAGTTAGTGATGTTTTTTGTGTCTATTTCATAATTTTTATTCCATAATTCAATACGAATTTTGAAACATTATATTTGACAAATAATGTGCTAATTTATGTGCCTTTTGGCTAATTTATTAACTTAAATTCCTGTCGATCAATGTAGTAAAATCAAGTGTAGGTTTTCTCAGTATAAATTAAATATATTTTTTCAAATATATATAATTCAGTTTCTATATTTTAGTTTACAGTAAAATATAATTACAGCAAAACTGTATACAGTCGGGAAATCAAATGTTTATCCTAACGAACCACTGCTATTGCTTAGTGTACTGACAAATTTAAAATCTCATTTATTCTATGATACATCGAATTACAATTTAAAATTATTTTCATGTAGAATAATTTTCATAAAAACGTTTGTATATTTATCTCATTGTAATGGCTTATTAACATTTAAAGTTCACGGGACATTGGGGTATACATATATTTATCTACCCTTCACTTTTATTCTCAGCGAAACTTTCAACATTTATAGTTACTTGTTTTTATGTCTGTCAACAAATTCAAAGTTGTTAGACGATCTTTCTGCGTCAGAATATTATACTATTAAAGTACCTAAGTGTTTCTGTTCTAATGAAAGTATAAAAATTTAACTGTCGATAAAATAAAAACTAATTAAACTTTTTATTTGCTTACTCTTTCAAAACTTCAACTGATGAAATAAATGTAGCACGTTAAATGGACCACTCTGTATTCCACCTTTTACCATCAGCGTATAATTGGGCATAATGTTTCGGCATATCAAAATATGTATCTACTGGTACCATCGAAGAATTCGACTTATCGCGGTTAAAGCGCACCTAAATCGAGCAGTTGAGCTATAAGAGGTTTTTTGTCTTCGTGTTATTATTTACTGCCTTAGACATACTGGTGATGAATGATCATTAATTATTGGTTTACGTATGCAAACATATATTGTCGTTGAAATTCGAAACATTACAAAATATTATAATATTGTTATTGCACTCAGCGAATATACAGTCTTGAATTAGACCAAATGCATATTTTATGACGACTGACGAGTATAGTTAGGTCATTTTAAACAGTTGTGAAACTATTGACGATACACGTTTATTGAAAACTATCGTACCATGATAAATTATGTTTTTTATAAACAATAAACTGTAAGTACGAATTCGTTGTATAATATGTTCAAGGTTCATCAATGTTTTTTGACTACGCTCTTTTGTAGGATACAAGTAATTATATTTAATATGCGTGTTATATATGAGGCAAAGTCGTAAAGGTATTGTTGAATGTACATTAAATTAATACATATTATTATACTATATTCTAAATCGTTCGATGCCACTGTAATTAAATCAGAGCATTCATCAAAACAGTTTGATTTATTGTAATGTGGGTAATAAAAAATGAAGTGTAACACAACATAACATGTAATGGAGTCTACTTGTGTATGAATATTATATAAATGAAATATTTCGCTATTGTTGATTACATTAATAATAATGACAGTTGATTTTTATCACAGTCGAAAGTAATAATGAAAGTTTATTATAGTTCAACAATGTTTCACGTCTATATAAATGTGGGTTGGACAGCGGTTAGTTATTTATTGGTTTTACTGGAATAACTTCATACATTATGCATTTTTTATGGTTGTAGTGATCTCTCGCTATACCGTCCCTGCACACGTGTATTTTCTATAGGTATAGATCTTAATCGTGTTATAGGTGTAATTTTTGTCAAATATATATTCAACTCAAGTTTTAATAAATCATTTTAAATGTATTTCTAAATAATATATATTTTTCTTACACGTGTATGTGCCACATTTCTCGAGTTCACTATAAACTAGGATCTATTTTTGGTCACATTTAACACAACACATATCTTAGTACAGCTCAAAACTACGTTAGAGCTTCACACTTTTCGTTTGAATAAAAACTATTATCCTTGTTTAAAATGTTGAATCGCTTAAATATGATTGTTGATTACATATATAATATATATTTTTAATTAACTGGTACCATGGTCTTAACCATTAAGTTCACAACTAATAAATTATTGCCGCTTCTATCGAGAAAAAACTTCAAAGTTTATCAATTATTTTTATTTTTTATTTTTTACTTTTTTTCATCAGATTCACATACTGTAATTTGTTATTAATCAGAATAATGTAAATACTGTCACAAATTAGTCGTTACATGATTTATAATTTCGTATTACTGCACATAATGAATTTTCACACAAAAAGTTGTCCCTACTATGAGCTATACACTAATTATTACATATTCAATGTTGGTACTACCATTATTTTCAAATAAAATGAAATACAAAAATATACTTTCGAAATCACAAAAAATGACAAGGACAACAATTAGTGGACTGTATATAATTTTTATATTTTTATCATGATTTAATTGCTGGTCTTTTACACATTTTTTTTTATTGTAGATATGTGTTATATGTTTATGTTAATATAATTTGATATTGTTTTATCATTAATACTTGCAAAATATTTAGCAAGTAAAATAATATCCAACACTAGGACAACGCATTCTACCTGATCTTGTATTATATTTTGTTGTAAAAAATATATATGTTTCCAGAGTTATTTCCTTTTGGGGCTTTTTATTAATTTTCTAGACAGCTAACCCTTTGCAATATATATTGAAAAATAATTCCGTTAATTCCGGTATTAGCTGGCACACGATATTAATAATTGTGACGTCTGAAGAATTTGCGGTATTTCCTATTACATTTATTACCGAAAAGGAGCAAACTATATAATGTAATATTGCATCATCATTTTTGTTTTACATTTTTCATAGTCAAATGGAATAGATATCTATAATTTCAATTAAAAGTTACAGATCGTTGTTTGAGTTTAAATTCCTAAAAAACGTCGATAAAATGAATGTCATCATTGGAGTTTCTAATGTCTAATATAACAATTAATTGTTCGAATAATGCGTGCTACGAATGGATGGTAGTCAGGAACGATTAAGCAAGGTGTTAAGTCCTTTTTAAATGAATTACACTAGTCATCACAAAACAAATTAAACAATCATGTTTCTGATTTGTATGATAAAATTACTAATTATTTAATTATTTGATCAAATTTAAAGGCAGAACTCAATTTATAATATATTATATTTTACTTAATATTGTACACCTAAAAAAAAAAAATTAATTTTAAACACTATCGCTATCAAAACTGACATCGAATGATTTTAGTTCTTTCTATTTCCGTCTAGTATTAATATTATCCACGTATAAATATATGTAATTAATACATCGTGTTTTAAACTATACCTTCTACCTATCTAATTATTCACGCAGCCAAAAACATACTATTATTAGTTTTTATTATCTACTATTTTTTTTTATTTTTTATTCAAGTAAGGCTTCAACTCCTGAGGTTATTAGCCTGTAAAAATTACAAAATAGTATTGATATTAAATATTAGTCTTACAACTGTAGGGATACATTATTTAACAATAAAGGTAGTTTCTAGGATATATGTACATTTAACAATTTAATTAATAGTAAATTACCTACTATTGTTATAACATGTTATCAAATATTTACGTAATGTATGGTGTTTCCATAAAGTATGCTATATGGAAATAAATAAAATGTAATAAGCATTTCTTTTTGTATGGCGGCTATGTCCCGGGAGTAGACACGAAGCCATAGTTCGGACGCCTACTTGACAGAATTTCTAATTGCCCCCCCCCCCACTCTAGGTTTCTGCCATGCCCGGTTGGGGGTATGGTGGTCTCGTCTTTGCCCAGAGAGCGATCCCGTCCGTGGCCCGGATTCGAGCCGGCGACGGTGCGCGTTAGAACCGACGCCTTAGTCCGCTCGGCCACTCCGTCCCCCATAAGTATTTTAATGGTTTTATAACGCGTTTCGTTTTGTGTTGACAAATAATAATATCGGGCTGACTGTTGGAATAACACGATTAAAGTAATTTTATTTGGTAACTATTTTTACTTACTGTGCTATGCTTTGTAGAGAAAAAACCAACCAAGGAGATGATTTGACTTCGGCCATAATAGATTGGTTGTAGTGGATGATTTCTTCAGAAGATATATTGTTGTCTGCAGTCATAGATCTTCCTTCATTTGATCCTGCTGTACCGTACCAATTTTTGTACAGCTCAGGTCGAAAACCTACCACTCTTTTGCCACCTCGATGACAGTTTTCAATAATCCAATTACTGCATTCTTCCGTCGGGACCCTATATGAAATAACACTACTCGTATAGCTCACTGTGGAATAGGTAGGTACATCAGAAATCTGTTTTTACATAATATGTATAATAATATAGTACTTTACGATTTTTGCAAATGTCGATCAAAAATTAATAAATAAATTAACAATAATTTACATTGTCCGTATTAATGGCTTATACGTTACCTATTCATTTGTTTCAAATTAAAGTCAATTTGCACTGCACTAACACACCCAAACACGTATATATATCAAGAGTAGATACCAAAAAGCTATATAATACCTAGTGATTCATTTAATTATGTAAAATATTAATCATTCAATTAATATTATAGCTTCATAAACAATTATAGAAATTAATGACTTTCAATGAAACATATATAGCTATGACATGAACTATGAATATCTAGTTCTAACTATTGCTAAATAATATACCATTCTTAAGTAAAATAGAATATCATATTGAAATTTTTATTGAACTTTCTAATAGTGTAAATATTTTACGGAAAAAAATACAAAGCACTAATTTTTTTTTAAAATAAACTATCTCTATAAATCACATCGAACAAAAAACAAACAAATACTTTACATAATATTATGTTATTATATACTGCACTGCAGGTAAAATATAATAATATTAATAATAATAATAATCACGGTGTTTATCGACAGTATTTTGCGAAATTTTCGTTGACCATCTGGCGATTGCTTTAATTTGGATATTATTACTATTTTTATTATTAGATGTTATTTGAGCATCCGATTTTTTTAGGTGTACTCACCTAATCAGCTCGTTTGTGTAGTAATCGTGTACAGTGTTCGTAAGTGGCCAGTAAAATCCATCACCGGCGTCATATGCTCCATCCGGCACTTCTATCGTGGGCTGCCGATTGGTAATATAACTCCTAGCAGCTGGTTGAAAACCGTTGGTATGTTCAATGGCAAATCTAAAATTTCGTTATTATTTTTACGATGGGTATGAATGTATCGATCGATGGTTGTGTTAAAGTCGCCCTCTTAAGATAACTTCCATAACGGTTTTATTCCAAAATATTTTTGAATTATCATTTCAAAGTATATAAATATTAAATGATAAATACTAGATGTCTAGGTGGGTTACAGTGTTACAGCTATAACGTTATAGCTTTTTATTGTTTTTTCGTTTTCGTATAAACTCTAAGTCTAAGTATTTTTCAATTGGTAGCTAACTACCAAATGTGTTCACAATAACATCATTAATATAATATGACAGTGGATGTCAATTTTTTGTTCGATAAAAATGAATATAATCCGTCCCAGGACAATAAATAAAGGTAGATTCTTCCGTTTTTTTCTTAATCTCAAAAACTTTTGTGTGCGTATGTACAGCTTATTTGTTACCGCGGGGATCAAGATTGATAAGACATTTTCAAAAATATTTTTTTTCCACTAGTATTAATTCGACTTTAATGCCTATAGAAGATCTATATTTTAACTTTTTTTTGAGTGAAACACTCTGAAAATAGACGTTGCTTGTTTTATATGTTTTGAGTGGCTTGATACCTAATTGCCTAACTATAAAATGTCACTTTTATGGTTTATTTATTTTTAAATACAATTTCACAACACGTTTTGATTTTTAATGAATAAGAATAAAAGATGCACCCAATAACTCGGCTGGTCTATCTTTTAATTCGTCGGGATATGGGATATTGAGTTATTATCAAAATAAATGTACCTACGTAAGTGTCATAAATGCAGAATTATTTTGTCGGTGTTCCGAAATAATCGTTTTAAGGAAACAAAAATATCAATAATACGTACTTATATATTTTTCTTGTTTACAATTTAAAATTTTTTATGGCGACCTACCTACTTACTATAATGATAATTTAGATTTATTTTATATGGACAAAATAACAAAATTTAGAAAAGAAAAAAATGTCATATTCTAGTAATACATATTACATACACAAATTAAGATTTTAATTAGGTACTTTTATTAGTCATTACTCATTACATTTCATTACTCTGATTAAACTAATACATTTTGAACACGAACACAAATACGAGTAATCGAGTGTCTTTTTCGTTATCAAATTTAAAACGTATATAGTTCCACGGAGTACGATCTACCAACATTTCCCCCAGATAACTGCAGCCTGCGTTAAATGACGGCCACAGACTTAAGATTTGAGTTTGGCATTCGTAACACCGCCGAGGTTATGATTTAATATTACAGTCGTTTGAATTTCCATATTATATTATAATGTCCTCTCGTCTATCGCGTATAATTATAAAATGATGTACACCATACAACACTTTGGACGCCAATGGCTACAGCTGCAGTGTTCGACGGTTTTGGCATTGGAGTGTACATTCACTTAAGTATAGGAAAGCTCCAAATATTGTAAAATATACCCAACGTATATAATATTATACATGGCCATATGGGTATTGTCAACCAGGAAACAATATTGGCCAGCACTCGACCTATATTAATTACGTTCCTATATATGTGGTTTCCATGTGTGTACGGACTTGGCTGATATAATAATAATACTAATATTATTATGTTTTAAATGTCGACCAGAAAACATTGTAGATGGCAGATATATAATATTATTATAAATATTTAATATATTGTTGTATTATTATGGTGTGTGTTTACCCGAATAAATTACGCTTATATAACCACACGGCCGGGTTGACGATTAAATTGTAAAGATCTTTTAACAATAATATTATATTAACGCCGTTTCTCTCGTGTTAAATTAGTAACGTTTAAAATCGGGTTTCGACAAAACGTCGGATTTATCAAGTTATGACAAGACGATGGTGAGGCTCTATTTATTTATGATTAAATCCATCGAGTTTAGCTTCCTTTTTAAGGTAGTTTATTCTAATTGATTTATGCTCAAATTATTCCGGTCTCGGAAGTCTCAATCTAATATACATATCTATATAAATATATTTATACATAAATTCATATTACATTTAATTAACCATGACTTTTATACGACGCTGATCAATTAATTCGTTTCAATTATAAACTATAAAATATTCTGCTCGGTTAATGAAATTGTAATGTACGAACAATGACCGGTTAATTTAACTTTTAATGTTACGCTTTTCTACAATATTTTTGTTACACGTATTAGGTTCATGGAATGTTTGCACAGGTTTTAGTTTAAACAACTTATGGATTTAATTTACATCATGTCCATTTTAATTAATTTTCCCATTCATTTATAAACATTTCACTTCAAAAATTCATTTAAACATTTCATTAGAAAAATGCCGGTCCTTGAGCTGTCTGATAAGAACCTAACCTAACCGTGTGGGAGACACGAATATATTTTATTACAAACACATTATTAACAACATCCGAATTTGAGGTAGTGGTTATTGTAAATATATATTATTTTAAAATTAATGTCCATTAATATTAAAATTATTATTTATTCATACTATTATTTGAAGTTATTTCTATAAATATTTAACGATATTATTATACCTACATTTTGTATTGTACAAAACAAAACAAAAAAAACAATTTATTAATTATTTCTGTAATTAACAAAATAATTGGTTTAGTTAAGCTCTGGTTTAGAAATTACAAACAATTTTTAGGAAACGGTGTATGGAAAAGGTATTATAATATCATGCAGACAAATATTTATTCATCCAAAAAAATATTAATATATTTACTGTAGTGTAAATACAATGACTAAAATCAATGGTTATCCGATAAATACATTTTTTTGTTGAAGCAATACACATAATGGCTAACAATTCCATTTTATATTTTAATCATTATTGTTATGAACGAATTAGACTTAGTGTGCAAGCGTGCAGTGCATACTGCAGTACATTTGTGTGCAAACTGGAGAGTCGATTGTCTGCGTCAATTGTCGGAGTATTGTGTATGTTTAATCTAATAATGTCTAAAACAATTTTTTCAATATTTATTTTGTGTTCTGTGTACTCATATAATAATATAGATTTATAATAAAAAAAGACATTATTTTATTTTTACGAGTAAAGTATACCTACCCGTTTTTGAATAAACGACAAAAAATCGCCAAGTTAGCAAATTCAAAATACGTTAACAAGTACCTACTATCTGATTCTTTGTAAAATTATTTATACATATGAGTATATAATATATATAGAGTCTTACAATTTATTGATTCATTTTACGGATCACTTAGCTTTCAGTATAATTTAATTTTAGCTCGCACTCTTCTTTGTAATTAAGCATATGGTTGTGTTAAAAAAAAATACGTAATTACCTACCTTTACATTATAATATAACCCTGTAGTTTATGTTTGGACGAAATGTACTTATCATTATTTTTGTTTTTTATATGAGCAGACTTGGGATTATATTATGTAAATTGCTAAATTATGTGCAATATATTATTTATAGTAATTTAATTTAAATATATTTCAATATTAATTAAAGTAATGCAAATAATTTACATACCTACATATATAAATCATATTTTGTTATTAATTTATTATCTATTCATCATGTTGGGAAAACTGAAGTATATATTATGTTTTTTTTAATGTAAAAATATTTCATTTTAACGGGGATATTTTTGACAGGAATAATACCTTCTATCTGGCACCTTACAGTACTGCCAATTATTCTGCTGAAATCTGAGACCGTCGCTGAATATGTAATTTTGTTGTACACATTTTCCTTTTTCCCAAACTCCCTCAATCCGGGATCCTGATAAATAGTACATAGTGCCATCTCCGTGAAACCTTCCGTCGTCAAAATTGCCCTCATAGACAGTTCCTAAAAATCGATTTGGCGATATTACCTTTAAACTGCACTCAAAATAAATTGCATCGTAATCGAGTCGATCAGTTGAGACGTTTAATAAATTCGAGAGAAAATAAAAGTGTTTATCACTCGATAGCGTCCCTTATTCACACTCGTCGAATGTGAAAGAATCAACTTATTGTCGTCACATTTGCATGGTTTGTTCGAACCGTACCAATCTACATTTAAAATTTTGGAAAAACGGACAGAGTTTTTCGGACCGTTCCGTCCGCCAGTAACCCCGTCTCAATTTATAATTATGGTATTTTAATACATTAGATGATAATCGTTTTAAATATGTTTATATTTATAACATGTGTTTTCTTACAGTTATAGGTTTTAAACATATTATGTATGTAATAACTATTTTTATGTGATGCGATAGCGGTGTTAATCCAAAATCGATGAGAATTCAATTTCATTGTTATAGTGAGGCAGTGAGCGTAAGTAAAATACCTGTGAATAAAGTCTTATCCATATATATCGATATGTTATTTTTATAACAAACTATAACATTAATAATAAATAATGAAACGTTTTATGAGTTTATAAGCTAATGTTTGTTTATTGTGTTCTACTATAACTATCACAATGACGTTTAAAGTATCAAATATAGACTACTTATGAATAACTTATAACTTTGTTGTAAAATTCTAACAAAATATAGCTACATTTCATTCAAAACGAATCATTTCTTATTGTCTTAGCAACAATAACCATACAGGTTAAGAGGACGTCGTACCTATATGTGTTGTCTCCGTCTTACACACGTTCGACATAATAAAATTTCCTTTAATCAGATTCAATAGTTAGTTTTGATATTAGAGTAAATTTATCCATCACACAATTTAAAGGTAAGATTAGTATCTAGGGTTCCACTGAGCCTTTATTGATATTGTTATTTTGAAATTAGTAATGATCATTTTAAAATGTGCACTTTCAAAAAGGTCATAACTTACTTTAAAATAATAATACCAATAAAAGGCTAAGTGGAACTCTAGATAATAAACTTACCTTTAAATTTTATAATTATTAAATTCACTCTTATATCAAAACTAACAGCACACTATGAATCCGGTAAAATACAATTTGCCATGTCGAACATGTATAAGACAGAGACAACACATGCGGGTACGACGTTCTCTTAATATTTACAACTTAATACACTACAAATAATGTTATTTTATTTTCAACAACGAATAAACTAATTCACCAACTATTATATCATATTTTTTTTATTTTATTTAAATAAACAAATATACAGTTTAACATTAATTGTACATTTGAATTATCTATCTTCTGTAAGCTAGGCTTGTGGCGAAGATAGAGAGTTATAAATTGATACATATTATGCTTAAAAACTAAAAAGAAAAACTAAAACACTATTATTGCGTAATTATACAATACAGAAAAAGATAAATAAAATATAATACAATAGGGTTAACTTAAGTTACATTTAAAGATACATGTAGCCAATCATTAATTAATTTTTTAGCGTTGTCATATTTGTAATTAATATTAACATTCTTCTTTATAGAGAAAGGCATAGAATTGTAATATATAGGACCAAGATAATCAACAAATTTTTGACCAACTGATTTTTTACAAAGTGATGTTTTAGCATTAAAAGATCAAAAAGCTCTTTTGTTACTAATTTCATTTTTCTCTACCCATTGATCTAAGTGTTTAACCACCCACATAATAGCCATTTTTTTGAAAAAAAAGTCAACTGGTAATACATTGAACTCTTTAAAATTAAGACCAGTTGAACCAACATAGTTTGTTTTTTTAAATACATGACATACACATAGTTATGGTTTATTTTCACTGTCTAAGCGTTTTAAGTGTTGACCTACCATTTTGCATGACGTATACTCCATCTCCGGACATCGTTCTGTGATTCCATTTTCCTTTATAACGGTTTCCTGTTCCAATTGGAATCCATTGGTCGTTTGGATGTAACTGACGTTTCACACGAACTTTTATCTTATTTTTCGATTTATTTTCACTGCAGATCATTTTAGTTAAAATTAAATAACCTCTTTTTTCTATTTTACCAGCCAAAAAAGAACACCATTTAATAATTATTGTTAACTAGTATATTCTGTAACCATGGTGTTTAAATAAATTATATTCGTATGACTGCTATGGTCAAAATATACATATACGACTGTGTAGGTATTTAATTGTATTTTGATACTTAAAATAGAGTATCTCGTACTTACTGATTCATTTTTTGCCAATAGTTGCAAAATATAATTTCGAAAAATGTATTTTTGGCAGATTCGGGAACCAAAATATAATGTAATATTAAATAAAAGAAGGATACAATTTATTTTATTATTCTTATAATCAGCTAAACACAAAATAAAAAAGTTGAAAAGTTTATCCTCCTATTTTATATAAGAACCTGAGATTGATATAAAGTTGAATAGTATTAGTATTTATTTGTGTAAGTATTGTTCAAAAAATCGAATATTGTTAATTTGCATCTAATATTAAATTAGTTATGCAAGTCTTAAAGTTTAGTTGAGTTCAAGAGTATATACTATAACCTAACCTATACAGGTGGGTAAACAAAAAGATAAACATGGTATAAAATATCGTGAATGAAACTGGTAGTAATTTATTAATATTTCCATATATTTAATAAACAAAAAATATTTCAAAAATTGGTACCTATAATTTTGGTAGTGTTATTTTATAAACTCACTAATTTAATTTGATGATACTAATGGGTTACACAAAGATGCACTTAGTTATTGTTTATACTCAAGTATTCGTCCAACACACAGTTTAGGTACCTTATACATATTAAAGACAATATACTACTTATTACTACTTAAATAAAATAAATATTTAATGTAGGTGATTAATTAGATGTTTTCACGATATTGAGGTGCCTGCCTATTTAGTAAAAAAAATAGCAAATTATTTAATTTACTGATTACATTTTAGGTTTAAAATACATATTATTTCATTGATTTTCAAATGAATACACAGAGGAAGCCATTATATAGTAAGTAATTATAACATTATGATGACATCATGTCAAAACTGACAATATCAGGATACTGAATATTGTTTTGATTGTTATAAAATGTAAGGAAGTAATGGAAAAATAAATCAATCAAAGAGAGCTGTTGAATTAATATGTTAATACCTACTTTACAAATTAATGTATTAAATTTGTCTAAAAAAAATAATATTAATGACATACAGACATCATAACTTATCAAGTGGTAACGTCGCCGAGTAATAGTAAACTTGTAATAGTGATCGATAAATGTATGATTGAATAAGGAAAATATTGTACTGATTGAAAAGTATTAGACTGTATTTGACATTCGTATTATTATGGTAACAACATTGTTGTTAATATATGCATATTTGATCAATAAACTTTAATTTATAACCAATATTGTGAACATATAAGATTTTTATTTGATTATTAAATATTTATGAGAATCCACTCATTTTAAAATTACCATAATAATTCTATTTATTTCTATTATATATTTTTGTGAGACAATAAGATAGTAATAATATGGAGTATAAAATCTGAGGAAAGTGCGTCATACAATATTCAGGTGTAAAAATGAAAATAATACAAAGGAAGAAACAATTGTGTAAGGTAATAATTTATACTGATATAAAATATCACGTTAAAAGTAGAACAATAGTAATAATGAGTTGATAGGTATAGGTACAACATTTTCTGTTTTTTTTTTAATGCAATCTAGGTATGAGCTGAGATAAATTGCAGCCGACATAAAAATATTTGAAAACAACGACCTCAAACTTTATTGTTTGTAATATTTTTGTTGAGGAATCTGAGGATATGAAATCTCACTCGAATCGCTTATTCTCTTAAATTACCTAAATGTATAACGATAATTCCACCCACGTTAAAATAATTTGGTTGCAAACGATTGAAACGAGTACTATTTAATATTAATTGGTACGCATTATTTAGATAAGTACACAAGTACATTAGGTTAGGTTAATATAAATCGTACATATAATATTAATGCACCTCATGAATTAATATCGGCTGATTACAGAATAAATGTAATATGATTTGGAAATCATTTTAATCTACAAACTTAATATTTTTACTGTTAAATACTTTCAAACATTATTTATCAGATCCTTAAAGAAATCTATAGTTGTATTACTGTTAACATATGATGTTTTATTATTATTATTTTTTATACCTGTGGTTATTTTTTCCCTGTAGATGAAATGAGACTACCTCTTACTGCTACACCACGTTGTCAATAGTAAATTTGACACAGACTGTACTTTAAATACTACATTTTTTATTTTTTATTTTTATTAAGGCTTCAACAATAAAATCATTAGCCAGGAGAATAATTTACATTTTATATTCTATGTTAGTTATAATAGGTACATACATTCATCATAATTATCACACAAAGATAATAAGGTAATAATAATAATAATAATAATAATAATAATAATAATAATAATAATAATAGTTCATTTGTGAAACATTTAAATACTTAAATATTTAAAATGTATTAAATACCTATTAAATACCTATTAAATACCTACTTATTACCTATTCGTTTCACTCATTTTTAATTGTATCACTTTTAATGTGGTACGAAAGGAAAACGGCGATAAACTCATTGATTTGACAACACGACTAGCTCTTGGTTTTTTTTTTTGTTATAATTTAAACATAATAAGTGTTGGGGACTTGAAATCACACATTACTTATAAAAGTGACACACAAAAAATAATACACTTTGAAAGAAATATTTAGTATTCGTAAAATTTTAACAGAACAATCCTTTCTGCAGGTCATATCTCTCATAAAATTCCAACTGATTTTTCACTACTTTGGGTATTATCAGGAGTGCCGTTCGACGTTCCCTTATGAAATCCCATAGGTCTTTCCTATATTTACTTGATCGGAGCTCAGGTATTTGAACGTCTGAAGCGGGAATCGAGACCTTTTCTGAAAACATAGTAAGACTTTCAAATTTGGGTCCACGATTCCTACCGGGATTGCCTTTTACACTTGCATGGGAATTCTCTTATCTTATGAATTCTAAGGTTATTTTAAATAATTCAAAACATTAAATATTTTCCGGTAATTCTATCTAAAACACTTAATTTTTGACCAAGTGCTTTTTTAAAATTTTTTTCTTGCTATCCATTGATTTTTTTGCTCAGTAGTAGGTATGTGTGTATTACACAATTCGTATAACACGTTCAATACCTACAAACTATTTAATTTATTTATTTAAACTACCTACATAAACTAAATAAACTAAAATTCGTGTAACACATAAAACTTATTATTATTATTTTTCGCCCTCACACACTTTTCTATTGTTGCTAGCTCAAAGTTCATCTCTTCCCTAGATACACTAGGGTATGTATATCACGTACCGACGTAGTCTTGAAATTCTAAGTTGACACAATCGATAATATTAAAAACGAGCTCTGGAATCTCAATATAATGCAAAATAATTAACTAATGCATATTGTATGGTTCTAGAAATACGCGTAACGTCACGTGTTCAAATGATAAATGATTTGGACTGGTATACTAATGGTCGTATATAATTATGTATTTATGTCATATCAAACTGGGACAAAAATATGCACAACGTATATTATTGAACATGATATTTTAATCATGTTTTAAACATATCGTTCCATATTCCGTTATCGCTGATTTTTTCTTATTGATAACAATAGAGCTTTGAAATTAACACGTAGAATATATTCGAACGGCATGAAACACAAGTCAAAAGTTTAGACGATTTTCAGACACAATTTGTAAAAATACATTTCGAGGATTATTATCAACTTCCGTATTTAACAGAACAGAGGTCGTCTAGTTATAAGTGCCAAGTGGTCGTTATGACCTAAATATAAGCACAAATGCAGAAAATTTCCAATAATAAATAGGTACCCTCATTCATCACAAATCTGGGAGAAAAAACAATTCCCTACAGTTTATGGGGTTTCAAGTCCATTTATGTTGTATTATGTGAATACATTATCGTTTAAACGAAATTTCCCTTTTTTATTTCAATATATTATTTATTTTATATTTTCATGGCAGTTTTAAGACCACATTGAACATTTTTCCGTGATTTTATATTATTGTGATTTTCATGATTATTTATTATTATCACGATCAAATTATATAAAAATATTACAAACAAAAGCTTTGAACCTCAGTGGAACACCTGATTTTAAGAACGTTGTCAATTTTAACGAAATTATAATATTACAAATATAGGACTATTCATTATACTTTCAAAAATATTTGTTCAATTTTAAAATAATTGTTTTGCCAATAAAATTTAAAAAAAAAGTAAAAACCCTGAAGTATACAAAAATATGGCGGGGTAAGAGGACTAGAAAACTTTATGATTTTGATATAATTTAACAGTTTAACCGGACAGATTTTCAAAAGATATTTGGGTACACATTTTGAGATTGAATATAATATAATGTATTCTGAGAAAAAGTTCTTTTATATTATTTACGTCATATTGCACGGCATACCAGTAGTCTTATTCTAAATAAAATGTTGTTTATATTTCGACCGATGAATCATAATATCACAAAAACGCTTGTATCGAAATATATATTATGGAAAGTGAATACTATTTTTGGATAGAAATCTGGGCTTATACTTTATTTACCATCATGCTTAGGAACAAATTTAAATCGTAAGTTACAGTTTAAGTTTTCAAACTTTGAGCGAATATGATATTGTACAGTAAACGGGAGATGCATTACCATATATGTATAAATACTTATAAACATATTTTAAACAAATTTTAATAAAATAATGTTAAATAAATTCTAGGGAATTATTATAAGACTACTGAGAAAAATTGAAAATGAGTCGATCAGACATTGAAAATGTCAAGGTTGTCTTAGACGTATGATTAATGAACATAATATATGTCTTAAGTAAAAGTTTGTGGAATGGAAAACTCTAATAAATAATAATTGTACTCGTCAATATTTATTGTATTATGTTGAAAATCTATTTATAGGTATCTATAGTATAATTTAGATATAATAATATTAATAATGTATGATTTAGATAATAAAGTCATAAATGATGTTCATTTAACATCCAACTTTTATTTTCTTAATTAATCATATTCATGATTTATTTTTTAAGGGAAGCAGAAGGCAACATTTAATCTTGGCAGGAATCGTTGATCCAAACTGGAAGTACTTACTTATGTTCTCTGGAACATCTAAGACCCAAAATTAACATTTTGTTTTCCAAGTATCGGAAACACTGGATGGTTTATATTAGCACTCAATATTGGTAAATTTAAGTCGAAAAAAATAGTATTATTCATGAATTAATAAAATAACTGAAAGTGTTGGTAAGTACCTATACAAAATTTAGTAATAAATTATATTTTATTCTTAATTAACGGCGTGGTAATATTTTGTATTTTTAAGTAGAATTTAAGTTTGAACTATTTTAATGAAATCATCCAACACACTTAATATTATCATACTATAATAATAAATGGTAATATTTATTATTATTTATTATTAGTTACCATTTACCTTATTTGGGTATATTATAGTAAATATTTGTAACAGTAAACTTTTTAACTTTTTAGTTGAAGGCCTATCAATTCTTCTAGAGAACATTGGTAGGTACAATTTCATAATATTACCACAATGTTGCTTCTGTTGAGTAATTTCTGGACAATTATTTTGCTGAACTAAAATAGATTGATTTGAAGATCAAAGGGACCTATCAGGAAATTCTCAACAATATCCAGTTGGATTTTTATTTGAGGCACTTCGAAAGGTTTGTTTTGTTTTTATGTTTACTGTGATACCTTGTATTGCAATTTGCCTTTACATTTACATACATATTATATTAAACTAAAAGCAAAACAGTCTGGATAATCGTTTGTAGAGTTAGTGTAGCAGGTTATATGAAATACAAGTTGTTCGGAGTTATTGGAAATAAAATCTATAATAACGGTGATAGTAATACAAATTCCAGACACCGAGAATTCAATTTTTTTTTTATTTTAAGATACCCTCAGTTGTCAGTGTGATAGTGATTTAAAGATTAAATTTAAGTTTGATGGACCACCGTGGACCTACGTAATATTTATTTATTCTTATGACAAAAACCAACATACTTTTATGGAATGTATTAACCATATAGATTTACAAATAAGAACCTGGTAGATTTATAGGAGAAACCCTAGATTTGTTTTTGGTATAGCTATATGGTCGTTTAATCTCGCCAAAGACTTTCTGTTTTATTTTACCACCTCAATACTAGAATAGTGTAGTAGGTAAATAACCGTACTCCGTAATACTCATAGTTCAGATCGTTTGTCAGATAGAATGTCTTCTGTTTGCTCAGGCAGTCTGACGTGACGTATTGTTTCGTGTACATCACCCCGCGCTAATGTAGTTGGCGATATTCTATAACCTGACATATCATATTAGTATGAAAATAAGAACGTATCAAAGTGCACAATACCGTCATTTAACTTTGAATCTTAACCTCGACATAATTATTATATTCGTTATTGTGTGTATAATATTTATTGCCTAGTATGGTATTATTAATAATAAAATGTTTGATAATAATAATAATAATAAGTAGGTACCTCCTTTACGGTATTAATCCATTTCGGAATATTAAAATATTATTGTATTATTTACATATTTCGACATTTAATTGCATTGGGATTAAAATCATCTCCACCATCGTCGTCTTCGTTAAATAAATTAAAAAACGAGTTTCATCGTATTTGAGTGGTGTTGCAAAATGTACGTCGCGCGGTGATAATAATTTGTTAGGTGGGATTTATGTCTGCTGACAAATAGCATTGCCCATTGGATTAACGTTAAACAAAGTTCTTACTTTTTAAACCAATATATGAGCCTAATGGATGATTTTCTTGCAGGTAGAAAATACAATTTAGTACTTCCCCCAACGAGTTTACTATACTTGATATTTTAATTTGTAGTTAATGAATATTGAGCAGGACGGGTTTTTAATGTATTTCGCGTGATTAATTATTTTTTGAAACATGGTTTAACTACCCATACTCATATGCATAGAACTGGTAAGTTTAGTTATTTTAACTCTTTAATATATTTACGATATGTACTTTACCATAATATTTTACTCAGATTTTAAAGGGGTAGGAGCATAATTTGACCTTTCAAACCAGAGTTGACCTTTCATGTATGATATAAATATTGATAAAGCAAAATATTTTGGAATAGTCAATTTTTTTCGAACTTAGATGATGGTGAAACTTATTGATGCCCATTTCAATACATATTAATATATATATTACATATAAATTAAAATTTTTTTTTCTTCAAGTGTAACAATATTGTAACATTATTGATATGTCTTCTTTAATAACGTAAGAAAAATAGTTGATTTAATAGTGCCACTTTACTGATAAATGCAAATAAGATACCTACTGTAAAGTTTATTGATTCCTCCAGGAAGCAAAATCCTAATTTATAAACAATTGATTTGTCCTTCAATGACCGGCTACATGGTATTTAACTTTGGGGATCTCTCAATATATCTAGCTTAGAGTTATTCCAAACCTTTCTAATCTTTATATCTTCGATTGCTAGTAAACGTTTTCTATTGGGACTTTAGTAATCGCGCGTTACACCATAAATTCAATATACAAACACTTCTTACCTACACCCATTACTACACGAAATTCCATAAAAATGCCCCAATCACTCAAATCCTCTTATTTCCAATCTCGTTTCTAGTATAAATTACATGACAAGCCAGTTTGCCGTCGTTATAGAAATTGACCAAGCAATCACATTACCATGTTTTTAAAATACCAAACCACCTTCCCCCGAATCTTTGAGGAAGTGGTGACTCTTTCTCTCACTTCATATTTAAATTTTATTGAGTTAAAACTTTTGTCTTGCATATTCTATAGCATGTACAGGGTATACTTAAGATAATATATCTAAACTTAAAAGTCGTTTAACGTAATTTAATTGATGCTACATTAAATAAATAAGCGTATTTAATTATATCATTGACTATTGGTTAGGCGTACGGCGTACCTGATTTATTATCAGCAAGTGTATAGATACTTTTTCCAATAATATTAAAATTTAATGTATTTATATATATATTTCAAGTTGAACCATTGTTCCCCAAACTTTTCTACCGATTATCCACCCTCTTCCGATCTTATAGAAAAATACTTGGCGAAACAAAAGTAAATAACAAAAATAAATGTATTTCTTAATTTTCTAAATTGCTTTTTCGATAAATTAAACGACGCATGGTTATCAATAACATTCATAAAATTAAATTTTATAGAGTGATATTATTGTGGTGCTAAATAATACCAAATATTAATATTAAATTAATTTATATTATTATTTAAATTTGATATAAAGACGAATTTTTAGAACCCGTTAGGCATACTCAAAGACTTCAGTTGAACCTTCATAAAGATTATTTATCCTAAAAATGTTAATAAAACGTTTGTACTTTTCTGTATTTTTTTTTCTCACAAATATCTCTGAAGTAAAATACATGGTCTAATGCAGTGTTTCTCAAACTGTTTGCAATGGTGACCTATAAATTTAATCTTTACTAGGTACGCGACCCTCTACTAAACAAAAAAAATCAAGTATGCCATAAATTAATACTATTATTATAGTCAATTTTATTATTCCCACCAATAAGGTAACAAATATTCCACAATCGTAATAAAATATTATAAAGATTACTAAAAATATTTCATACTTTAAACAATACTAGTTGGACTTCCCATTATTATTATACAATATAGATAGGTATCAATTTACGGCTAAAAATAACAGTAATTGTAACCGCGAGTCACGACCCATCAAGAAGATTTCGTGACCCATGGTTTGGGAATCATTGGTCTAATGTACCTCTATGAGAAAAGAACCAAAAATAATAGGGTAATTATTTGAAGAATACGGACGTCGGCGCCATGACAGATCGTCATCATTGGTGGAGGGTAAGAGTTACGACGACAAGTTTTGAAAGTTCCAAAACGAACTTAATGAACATAAAAATGTCTTACGGAAAACGAGGAAATGGAAATCATTCCTGCAGTTATGCGAGTTATACGCAATCAAACCTTTCAGTCCTAACTTTCAAATATAAAGTGCCAAGTGGTTGTATCATAACAAAATGTTATTAATTTATGCAATTCTTGAAATTATTTTGCTTAAGATTTTTGCTTTAGTTGATTGTTTTCAATTATGATTGATCTATACATTTTGAGTTCTAACGTGTTATTGACATACATACATATATCGTGCTCAGTATATTATCATAAGATAAAGTATTCAACCTGGACTATAATTCTTAAACTAAACTATATACTGCTCCCAGAAATTGTAAATTCAACCTATATTCACATATAATTTGTTTGTTCTAATATGGATAATTTATCTTTCAGAGTATTAAAAAAAAAAAAAATACTAATTTTCAGTTGTTTTGTAAATTTCGTGTTCTAAATAAGCAATTATAAACAGAACACCTTTAACTGTACTAAATATGCAGGTATTTAAATTAATCTTAAATTTGAATATGTAAACAGCTACTTATAATATATTGTACCTATGCAGTTTAATTACATTTTACATAATAGTCAATAAATGTTCTAACTGCAAATGGTATTGCTATAGTTTAAATATTAATTTTGTTTTACATTTATAGTGTTAACTGAATCAAAAGCTCATGCATTATTTAAGGTTTGAAACCATGACTTTACTTATATATTACGTTGTATAATATTTTTAGTAGATTTAAGTGCGTTCACAAAATATTAAAATAGTTATGATAATGTAATAACGCTGAACGAGTTATTATTGCTTTGCACTTTGGTGCGCATCAATGCAACGCCTGAGACCTGACTTTTCAATATTATTGTGCTCTCATACTAATCTCCAGTTAAGGATAAATAAATAACTATAAGACGAAATCAAGCGGAAGACATTATGACGTGAGCGAACTAAACACACAAGTATAATAATTCGCCGTGATTGAGTCGATTGTGAAACTATTGGTTTTAATATAACATCAACATTCGCTGTTTTCGATTTACCGTATACTCGTCGTACTTCCGGTTTACTCGACACGCCATAATCACCCTCTTGTTTAGTGTGTTTTATAAAATAATTACTACTTGCCTTAAACGCGCATTAAGCTTAGTTGTTAAATTTCTGTTCACTTAGTGTTTAAATGCAATAGCAGCCATTTGTTATTTGGACGTGTTTGATTTAACAAAATAGGAAACTTTTATGTACTATTGATCTAATGACCCGGTTTAATGCTCGATTATAATGTTGTGTGTAATAGTATATATAAGAGCCGACTTACTTCCACTCCGTTTGAGATATGGCTCATTATAATATATGTTGTTCATTGGTATGTAGGTATACGTATTATACAGGTGCGGTATAATAACTAATCTCCTAGCTATAAAACCGAGAGTGACAAGACAAAATATTATTCGAGATTCCGTTCGCTCTGTTTTATACTTGCCTATATTAGTTGTATCTATTAATTGCAGCTTATTAACATTTTGTTAAATATTAATTGTTTTTTCATTAGGCTATAAAAGAAGTGACAATCTAAATAACAGGTATTTATTAATATGATTTAAATTCTATGATTGTATACCTTTTAATTTAAAATTACATAAGTCGATATTTTTGAAGTGTTGAAAATGTACAACTGTCAGTATACGTAATATATAATTATAAGCTGTTAAAATGTTTGATTTTCATAACACATGTTAT